CCCCCTTTTTCCCCCAGGCCAAGCTGCACCCGGTGAAGCTGGAGCGGCTCCCGGACACGAGCCCGGCCGCCCGGATCCTCTCTGTGGAGCCCACGTAGGACACCCCCCACCCCAAAACCCACCCCTGGAGCCCCTCGAGCCCCCTTTTAACCCCCCCCAAAACTCCTCTGTGCCCCCCCAAAGGCTCCAGGCTTCCTTCGCCCTCCGGGACGACGCCAATCCCAGCTCCCGCAAACGCGGCTTGAAGAGGTTCCCCGAAAACCCCGAAGCCTTTTGGGGTCCCAAGGCCAGAGCCAAGGCAGGGTGAGGGGCTGGGGGGGGCCCGGGGGGGGCTGATTCGGGGGTTCAGCTCCCCCCTTTTCATTCCCAAGTGGGATATTGGGATATCTCCCCCTCTTTTTGCCAGGAGTTGGGATCAGATCTCCCTAAAAGCGGGGAAGGGACGAATCCCTCGCTCTGTCCTTTTTTTGGGGGGGATTCCTAATTCTGTCCCCCTTTCCAGGGGAGACCCCCCCCCCCAGCTCCCTCCCCTTTCCCTGGGGGGGTCCCCAGCTCACGCTCCCCCCTCCCCATCCCCAGGGGGGGCATCTCCCCCTCCCTGCAGGAGAAGAGGAAGCGGCTCCAGAACAAGTGGACGGAGCGTCCGGACGGGGCCGAGCTCAAACAGTTCCCCTGCAAACGCTTCAAGGAGGTGAGGGGGGGCCCCAAAATATACCTGGGGGGGGTCCCGGGGTGGTTGGGAGGGGCTGTGATGGTTTGGGGGGGGTCCTGTGGTGGTTTGGGGCACCCCTGGAGTGGTTTGGGGGGGTCCCAGGGTGGTCTGGGGAATCCTGGGGTGGTTTAGGGGGGGACCCTGGGGTGGGTGGGAGGGGCTGTGATGGTTTGGGGGGGTCTTGTGGTGGTTTGAGGGGTCCCAGTGTGGTTTGGGGAGTCCCTGGCATGGTTTGGGGGGAGATCCAAGGGTGGTTGGGGGAGGGCTGTGATGGTCTGGGGGGTCCCAGGGTGGTCTGGGGAGTCCCTGGCACGGTTTGGGGGGGGGTTCCCAGGGTGGTTTGGGGGGGGCTGTGATGGTTTGGGGGGGGTGGGGTCCTGTGGTGGTTTGGGGCACCCCCGGAGTGGTTTGGGGGGGTGGTTCCAGGGTGCTCTGGGGCATCCTGGGGTGGTCTGGGGGTCCCAAAATATGGGGGGGACCCCAGAATATCGGGGGGGCCCAAAAAATACCGGGGTAGGAGTCCCAAAACACTGGGGAGGGGGCTGGGAACAAAGTGGGGAGGGGTCCAAGAACACGAGGGGGGGAGTTTGGAATCAAGGGGGGGTCAGGGATAAGATTTGAGGGGGTTGGGAATAAGGGGGGGCTGTCTGGGAATTATGGGGAGGGGGCTGGGAACAAAGGGGGGGTCCAGGAACACGGGGAGGGGAGTTTGGAATCAAGGGGGGGGTCAGGGATAAGAGTAGATGGGGTTGGGAATAAGGGGGAGCTGTCAGGGGATTATGGGGAGGGGGTCTGGGAATTTTGGGGAGGGGGTCTGGGAATTTTGGGGAGGAGAGGAGTCTGGGAACAAGGGGTGGGGGGTCCAGGAACATGGAGAGAGATCCAGGGAATTATGGGGAGGGATCTGGGAATATTGGGGGGTGGGTCCAGAAATAAAGGGGGGAGGATTCTGGGAACACAGAGGGGGGGGGGGCATGGGGCAGGGGGGCATCACAGCCCCTCCCTCACACCCCCCTTCCCCCCCTTCCCCAACAGGGCACCTGCTCCCGGGGTGACCAGTGCTGTTACTCCCACGAGGACGGACCCCCACCCGCCCCCCAGGCCCCCCCCGGCCCTGCCCCCCATTAAACAGCGTCTGACAAAACTCAGGGGGCTTTAATGCACTTTTTGGGGGGCTGGGGGGGGGGCTGGGAGGGGGGTGGCTCAGGGCCCCCCCGGCCCCGGGTAGCTCACGGTGACCTCGAAGGTCCGGATCTGCATCGGCTCCAGCGTCACCCGCCGCGGGTCCAGTTTGGGCACCGGGGGGGGCTTGGGGGTGCCTGGGAGGGAAAAAGGGGGCGGTGAGGGGGGGCTGGGACACCCCCAGGACCCCCCCGGACCCCCCGGTACCTGTGGCTGTGGTCCAGAGCAGGCGGGACACGGATTCCAGGGGGACGTCCCCCCCCAGGGCCATCTCCCGCACGGCCGTGACGGTGAAGGCTGAGAACAGGGTCTGGGGGGGGGGCACGGCCCTCAGAGACCCCTCAAACTGACCCTGTGCCCCCCCCAGCCCACCCCGTGGCACGGGGGACTGGCAGGGACCACCCAAACCTGTCCCCCAAACTCCTGAACCCCCTCCATGTGGCAGAGATCCCCCAAACTCCTGAAGCCCCCCCTGCCCATCCCACAGCAGAAACTCCCCCCATGTGTCAGAGACCCCCCCCAAACCTGTCCCCCAAACTCCTGAACCCCCCCATGTGTCAGAGACCCCCCCCCAAACCTGTCCCCCAAACTCCTGAACCCCCCCATGTGTCAGAGACCCCCTCCCAAACCTGTCCCCCAAACTCCTGAACCCCCCCATGTGTCAGAGACCCCCCCCAAACCTGTCCCCCAAACTCCTGAACCCCCCCATGTGTCAGAGACACCCCCCCAAACCTGTCCCCCAAACTCCTGAACCCCCCCACGTGTCAGAGACCCCCCCAAACCCGACCCTGCACCCCCCCAGCCCACCCCGTGGCACAGGGGACTGGCAGGGACCCCCCAAACCTGTCCCCCAAACTCCTGAAGCCCCAAAGCCCATCCCACAGCAGAACCCCTTCCTATATGTCAGAGACCCCCCCCAAACCTGTCCCCCAAACTCCTGACCCCCTCCATGTGTCAGAGACACCCCCCAAACCCAACCCGGGACCCCCATTCCCATCCAGGACCCCCAAAGCCACCCCAGGACCCCCATTCCCATCCAGGACCCCAAGCACTGGACCCAGGACCCCCAAAGCCACCCCAGGACCCCCAAACCCAACCCAGGACCCCCAAAGCCACCCCAGGATCCCCAAACCCAGCGCAGGACCCCCATTCCTATCCAGGACCCCCAAAGCCACCCCAGGACCCCCAAGCCACCCCAAGACCCATAAACCCAACCCAGGGTTGTGTTTAGGGGTCGATTCCCATCCCGGCCCCCCAACGCCACCCAGGACCCCCAACCCCAACCCAGACCCCCCGAAGCCAGCCCATGACCCCCATTCCCGTCCAGGACCCCCATTCCCATCCAGGACCCCCAAACCCAACCCAGGACCCCAAAGCCAGCCCAGGATCCCTAAACCCAATCCAGGACTCCTATTCCCTCCCATCCAGGACCCCCAAAGCCACCCCAGGACCCCTGAACCCAGTGCAGAACCCCCATTCCCATCCAGGACCCCCAAAGCCAACCCAGGACCCCTAAACCCAACCCAGGGCCCCTATTCCCATCCAGGACCCCCAAACCCACCCCAGGACCCCCGAAGCCAGCCCATGACCCCCATTCCCATCCAGGACCCCCAAAGCCAGCCCCGGACCCCCATTGCCCCCCCGGCCCCCCCCTCACCGTGATGTCGAGGGTCTCCGTCCCCCCTCGCCCCCCGAGGTGCTCGAGGCGCAGCAGGAGGGTCCCGGCCCCCTCCCCCGGGGCCACCGTCAGCAGGTGGAGGTGGGGGGGCAACGCCCGCCGGAGCCCTGAAAACTGGGGGGAGACCCCCAACCCAAGCTCACCTGGGGCAGGTGAGGCCCCCCCAGAGCCCCCTCCCCACCTCACCTGGGGCAGGTGAGACCCCGCAGACCCCTCCCACCTCACAAGACCCTGCAGAGCCCTCTCCTGACCCCCCCCAGCCCCCCGTGTCTCACCTGCCTCAGGTGATCACCCCCCAGCCCCTCCCCTGTCTCAGGTGACCCCCCCCAGCCCCTCCCCTGTCTCAGGTGACCCCCCCCCGTGTCTCCCCTGTCTCAGGTGATCCCCCAGCCCCTCCCCTGTCTCAGGTGACCCCCCCACAAGCCCCTCCCCTGTCTCAGGGTACCCCCCCAGCCCCCCGTGTCTCACCTGTCTCAGGTGACCCCCACAGCCCGCCCTATCCAGGTGACCCCTCCCAGACCCCAGGTCTCCCTGTCTCAGGTACCCCCTTCATTTTTTGTCTCACTCTGTCTAGGTGACCCCCCCAGCCCCTCCCCGTCTAGGTGACCCCCCCCCCCCCCCGTGTCTCACCTGTCTCAGGTGAGGCCCCTCCCCCGCTGCCAGCACCAGGTGTGGGGGTGTCACCATCTCCTGCGCCCGCCCCCGGTGCCCGTCAGGCGCGGCCCCCGCGGGGTCCAGGAGCACCCGGTGCCTCCCCCGGACCACCAGGGGCTCGTCCAGGGCCTCCCCCACCCCCCGCTCGTCGTCGTGCAGGAGCCGCCGGTGCACCTGGGGGGGGACAGGTGAGGTCCTAGGTGTGTCCCACCCCCCTTGGAGGGGGACAGGTGAGGTGCCAGGAGTGTCCCACCCCCCATGGGGGGGGACAGGTGAGGTGCCAGGAGTGTCCCACCCCCCATGGGGGGGGACAGGTGAGGTCCTAGGTGTGTCCCACCCCCCTTGGAGGGGGACAGGTGAGGTGCCAGGAGTGTCCCACCCCCCATGGGGGGGGGCAGGTGAGGTGCCAGGAGTGTCCCACCCACCACCGGTGCACCTGGGGGGGGACAGGTGAGGTCCTAGGTGTGTCCCACCCCCCTTGGAGGGGACAGGTGAGGGGACAGGTGTGTCCCACCCCCCATGGGGGGGGACAGGTGAGGGGACAGGTGTGTCCCACCCCCCATGGGAGGGGATAGGTGAGGTCTCAGGTGTGTCCCACCCACCACCAGTGCACCTGGAGGGGGACAGGTGAGGTGCCAGGTGTGTCCCACCCCCCTTGGAGGGGGACAGGTGAGGGGACAGGTGTGTCCCACCCCCCATGGGGGGGACAGGTGAGAGGACAGGAGTGTCCCACCCACCACCGGTGCACCTGGGGGGGGACAGGTGAGGTCCTAGGTGTGTCCCACCCCCCTTGGAGGGGGCAGGTGAGGGGACAGGTGTGTCCCACCCCCCTTGGAGGGGGCAGGTGAGGGGACAGGAGTGTCCCACTCCCCATGGGGGGGGGCAGGTGAGGTGCCAGGAGTGTCCCACCCCCCATGGGGGGGGACAGGTGAGGGGCCAGGAGTGTCCCACCCCCCTTGGAGGGGGCAGGTGAGGTGCCAGGAGTGTCCCACCCACCACTGGTGCACCTGGGGGGGGACAGGTGAGGTCCTAGGTATGTCCCACCCCCCTTGGAGGGGACAGGTGAGGGGACAGGTGTGTCCCACCCCCCTTGGGAGGGGACAGGTGAGAGCCCAGGTGTGTCCCACCCCCCACGGGGGGGGACAGGTGAGGTGCCAGGTGTGTCCCACCCCCCTTGGAGGGGGACAGGTGAGGGGACAGGTGTGTCCCACCCGCCATGGAGGGGGACAGGTGAGGGGACAGGTGTGTCCCACCCCCCATGGGGGGGGACAGGTGAGGTGCCAGGTGTGTCCCACCCCCCTTGGAGGGGGACAGGTGAGGGGACAGGTGTGTCCCACCCGCCATGGAGGGGGACAGGTGAGGGGACAGGTGTGTCCCACCCCCCATGGGAGGGGATAGGTAAGGTCTCAGGTGTGTCCCACCCACCACCGGTGCACCTGGGGGGACAGGTGAGGTCCTAGGTGTGTCCCACCCCCCATGGAGGGGGACAGGTGAGCTCCCAGGTGTGTCCCACCCCCACAGGGACACCTGGGGGGACACAGGTGAGGTCCCAGGGGTGTCCCCCCCCTCACCATGAGCTCCAAGGCCCCATCCTGGACGCTGCTCCCGCCCTGGGAACGATCCGTGAGCACCGTGAGCTGCAGCTTCTCATCCTGGGGAGGGGGGAAAAAAGAGGGGGAAGAGGGAAAAGGGGGGGTCAGGTGAGAGGATCCCAGGTGTGCTGAGCCCCCCCTCGCCCCCCAGTACCTGGATGAAGATCCGGGTGTTCACGGGATAATAATTCCCGGCCACCGGCTCCGTCTGGCTCAGGTTCCACGTGGGCCTGTAATCCCTCCTGGAGGGGGGGGGGAAACAGGGGGTTTTTGTGGGGGTCCTGGGGTGTTTCAGGATGGAGGGGGGGTCCTGTGGGCCCCCTGATCCCCCCCCAGCCCCCCCAAACCTGCGCTCCAGGATCTGGCGCCCGTTGGAGTCGGTGAAGAACCTCCCGGCCGTGGCCAGCGGGGTCTGGAAGCGTGTGATGAGCTCCTTCCCTACGCCGTCCCTGGGGGGGGCAGGGGGGGCTTAGGGGATGTTGAGGGGTCTCAGGGCACGTTGGGGGTCTCCGGGGGGGGGTCGGGGGTCCCCTCTCACCCCACGGGGATGGGCCCCAGGGTCCACTCGAGCTCCAGGAAGGGCTCCCCCGGGCGCAGCCGCGCGACCTGGGAGCACCACGAGGAGAAGTTCTGGTGCAGCTCCTGCACCAGCGGCGTCTGGAGGTGGGGGGGGGGAGACACACAAAAGGCACAATCAGCACCGAGGGACCCCCCTCAAAGCCGGGGGAAGCCCCCCCAGGACCCCTCTGAACCTTGAGCAGGGCTGTGGAGACGCGTTCGGCCACGGGGACGGGCCCCGAGCTGGGCCGGAAGATGTAGGCGCCCGAGGCCTGGGGGCTCAGGGCGTCCCCGGCGCTGGCAGCGTACCTGGGGGGGGCAAAGGGGGGTCAGCAGGGACCCCCCCAGTGAGGGAAACCCTCCCCTCCTCCTCAGGGACCCCCCCAGTGAGGGAAACCCCCCCAAAACTCAGCAGGGCCCCCCCAGTGAAGGAAACCCTCCCCTCCTCAGGGAACCCCCCAAAAACTCAGCAGGGACCCCCCAGTGAAGGAAACCCTCCCCTCCTCAGGGAACCCCCCCAAAAACTCAGCAGGGACCCCCCAAAACTAAGCAGGGACCCCCCCAGTGAGGGAAACCTCAGCAGGAACCCCCAGGGAGGGAAACCCCCCCAAAGCTCAGCAGGGACCCCCCACTGAGGGAAACCCCCCCCCAAAGCTCAGCAGGGACCCCCCCAGTGAGGGTCTGGCCCCCCCCAGTCTCACCAGTAGAAGTTCTGGAGGACGGGCAGGGAGACCCCCCGGGGCCGGTTCTGGATCTCCCGCAGGAGCCCCGTGTGGGGGTCGAACACGACCCTCAGGTGCTGGGGGGGGGACACAGCGCTGGGTCACCCCCCCAGTCCTCCCAGTTCCCCCCCAGAACTGGTTTAACTGGGACCCGTGACTCCCCTGCCCATCAGGGACCACCCCCCAGTCCTCCCAGTTCCCCCTCAGAACTGGTTTAACTGGGACTCGTGACTCCCCTGCCCATCAGGGACCACCCCCCAGTCCTCCCAGTTCCCCCCCAGAACTGGTTTAACTGGGACTCGTGACTCCCCTGCCCATCAGGGACCACCCCCCAGTCCTCCCAGTTCCCCCCCAGAACTGGTTTAACTGGGACCCGTGACTCCCCTGCCCATCAGGGATCACCCCCCCGTGACTCCCCTGCCCATCAGGGACCACCCCCCAGTCCTCCCAGTTCCCCCCCAGAACTGGTTTAACTGGGACCCGTGACTCCCCTGCCCATCAGGGACCACCCCCCAGTCCTCCCAGTTCCCCCCCAGAACTGGTTTAACTGGGACCCGTGACTCCCCTGCCCATCAGGGATCACCCCCCCACCCCAAAATGTGCCCCCCCTCCTTTTTTGGGGGGGGTGTCTTTACCTCATTCTGGATCTCCAGCGGCCCCGACTCCTCCGAGGTCCATTTTGGGGGGTCCTGGGAGCCCCCCCGGCTCCGCTGCCGGACCCTGAAGGTGCTGAACCCCAGGGGGGGGGCCTGGGCCTGGAACAGCAGCTCCCCCCGGGCCCCCCCGGCCCTGCCCCGCAGCCGGCGGGTCACCCCCGACACCGGGACCACCTTGGGGACACACGGGGGGGGGGGTCAGTGGGGGACCCTGGGGGGGTTTGGGCTCAACTTTTGGGTCTGGGGGTGGCCCTGGGGGGGGTCTGGGCTCACCTGGGGGGTTATTGGGGTGGTCCTGGGGGGGTCTGGGCTCACCTGGCTGGGCAGGGGGTGGCCCTGGGGGGGTCTGAGGGTGGCCCTGGGAGGGTCTGGGCTCACCTTTTGGGGCAGGGGGTGGCCCTGGGGGGTCTGGGCTCACCTGGCTGGGCAGGAGGTGGCCCTTGTGGGGTCTGGGCTCACCTTTTGGGGCAGGGGGGGTCTGGGCTCACCTGGGGGGTCTGGGGGTGGCCTTGAGGGGGTCTGGGCTCATCCTTTGGAGCAGGGGGTGGCCCTGGGGGGTCTGGGGGTGGCCCTGGGAGGGTCTGGGCTCATCTTTTGGTGCAGGGGGTGGCCCTGAGGGGGGGTCTGGGCTCACCTTTTATGGCAGGAGGGG